ATAAAATTAATGACAGCGATGGAACATAAAAAATATCGACAAAATTTCACACAATACAATAATTTCGTTTCTGCAGCTTGAAGTAAGCAGTTTAAAAAGAAATGTCAGTGATCGGGCGGATAACATGCAAGATCGGCATCTATAGTTGCAACGATTCAGTTGTTATTGGGACTACAGAAAACTGATAATATCGTTTATGTTTAAGTAAAACTTCTAAGACACAGTTCGACTTGTGCATGTATTCGACGAGGGAAGAATGAATTTTCGACACCATGTATAGACTTGAAGACTGCTGACATGAAGACCTAGATGTTGTGCGGGAGGTCACACATGTAGGTTAAAACTAATTTTGCCAATCAGTAGTTTATCGGTTGTAGTTAACGAGGGTTCTCAGTCCGAATGAACTACCAATTTACCACTTAGGCAAATAAACTAGCAATAACAGATAAAAACGAAGGAAGGGTGATATACGGGTTCGTGTCGCGTCCACAAAGAGGGCAACTCTGATAAATCACATAGAGAGAGTTTAACTGTTATTCGCTATCTCGTTGCTTCCTCTCGTTTAAACAATCTTTCGGTATGTAAAATTTCATAATTTGATATTCAGACAGTGTGGCGGTATCCCTTGAAACATCAACAGGTTGTTGGATACGCATGATGGCAAAACCGCCGAACTTGTTGGCGAAAACATCTCCAGAAACATCACCTCCTTTACAGAAGGACAGCGAAATAAGAGATCAAGAGCACAGCACATCAGCGTTATCGCCTGAACATTACCTGCGCGATCCTGTTTCACCCCTGGATAAACGTATGAATCACATCTTATTAATCTTTGGCTTGTGTCACCTTTATCCTTATCTTTATTTTTTAAATTGCCATGAAACCCATGACATTTTGCCCACACCGTCATAACAGTATGAAAGGATTGAAATTTAAAAAATTTTTTCCTTGCGAGCAGTCATCTTCTCAGGTTAGAAGTTTGGAGATTATTTTAACGTTAGTTCTGTTGATCATTCAAGATATTGTCTTACGCCATTTATCAGTTAACTCAACAGAGACATAGGATACTATGTATCAACAGTCTGGAGGAAAGCGACAAAACAGCTGGCGAAGAACACCAGGACTGAATTAAATCTAAGTTTCTCTGCTTGAACTATGTTATGAATTAACATCTCGCTCATTCTCTTTGTGCCATCTTAAAGTCATTGCGAAATAAACAACAGAAATTGCGACCATTGTCCTACTTGTTATATATTGCCCTCCCCCCCTTCGCTGAAGATGGATCCAACTATGTCTGAAACATCAGGATTTATTTTTGATAAAATTTATACGCCTTTGAAGATTTTGACGGCCATTTATCAATTACTGCAATTGTTCGACTTGGAAATGGGAAAATCATTGACCGTATTTTCTATGTGTATCTTTAGTATAGGTCTTTCTTCAATTCAGGATGGGTAGTGGGTTATGATCAAATTTTTGCTGCGTTCCTAGCCGACATGACCATCAGCAAGCATTGTACTTTTTAAGAAGATCTGCCTATGTTTATGAAGACAGTAGTGATCTGATCGCGCCTGAAACTGAGATTTTACGCAGAGTTGATCATTTAGACATGAATAACGTTCCGTAGGAAGTACGCATATTCCGGGATTTATGAACGTTATCGTTGCATGAAATGTTAGCCAGTCGAAGCTAAAATGCCCACTAGTTTTAATATAGAGTAATCTAGCGAGCTCTCAGAGGTTTCCAGTCATGAAGAATCATCAAGTATTTTTGCGCATCCGTTGGAATGCCATGCAATCATAAAATTAACCACTGTATTGCCTTTTTGATAGTTTTTGTGTTTATCTGTATAATGCAGTTTTGAAATATTAAATCAAACATTCACATTCTAAAACTGTTACGGTGTAAATATAAAAACTTACGTGCAGAAAATAATTAATTTTTTGAAAATCATTTATGGTTAATTAGGCTTTTATTACTGTACGTAGGATAATTTTACTGCTATGTTGTTTCCTGTTCAGCGAACCCTCAAAAAAGAAAACAAGAGTTCTTCGCTACTGTGAAAATCTGTGAATGTGAAGCTCGATTAATTGAGTTAAGTGTACATAGAGTACTGCGATGCGCAGAAGGGTATTTAAGCTTTGTGTGGAGGCAAGGTAAGTCGGAGGATATGTTCTTCGCATGTGAAGGCCTGATCCGTGGGCATGATCTGTGATTAACGCAGTACAGTCGATAGAATGTTAGACTCGAAGTCAATAGTTCGTGTGTTCTGATCAGGCTGACTCACTCACCACTAGTTTCCACTTTGGAATGCAGTTAAAGATTTACAAGCTGCAGTTTCTATTTTATTTTATATATAATCGTCAAAAATACCTTTCGTTTAGCGATCGAAATCGTTGTCATGCTTAAAAATACGATTATAACTCCAGGAAGAAACGTGCTACGAATTCCAACTATCATGGAAGTTGCGAGTGAATGAACAGTTGTTCGATGAAAGGTCGGCGTCCACAGGTGGAGAAAATATGACCAATATATTCGCCATCTATAAAAGATGAGGGGGCATTTCAGTTTTGCAAAACAATTAAAAATGATTATGACAAAGCGGCAAACACGACATCAGACCATTCCAGCGTTAACAATTTTTTACCCTTTCATTTAGCCCTCTGTTACTATATAAGCCCGGTTTGTCAGTGTAGCATAGTCAGTAAAGCAATTGAAACATTTCACGATCACGCGCATCTGATCTTTCTGACATGGAGATGTGGGCTGTGTCTATGTGAAGGGAATCATTAGTTGCTGTGATAATTGGATCGCTGCAGACACTGCCTTGAAAATTCCCCGCATTATAAGATCGTAGCATCACATCGATGTACCATGAAACAGCAGTTTCGTGAATAGCGCCCGTTATAGAAATACCAACGCGACTGCTTTCCGAAACGTTTATTTTCCAGCAACGAAATGTGGTAACTGCGGAATTTTCCTGTCTATGGAAGATCAATCAAGCCCAGCGAATACACGTTATTTTTTGTTTGTTGCATTTATCTCAGTATGGTTATAAGTGTTTTTAAATAGTGAAGTAAATTTTTAGTTTAGAAAATTTTACTCTTATGCTGAAAAATGTGCAATTTTGTCAGGTCATTATTTACTGGTATTTTCTGTCTATTTTTTTGTTTAGAATCCGAAAATCTGTCTAGCAGTGGAGAAATCGATGACCATCAAGAAGGTACTGTCGTTGCTCAACAGCCGGACAGAGAGGAAAACGAAACCAGCAAGGCATTAGAGGTGTGCTGGTTTATTCGAAATGGTTCGCTGTGGTTTTGTTTGTTGCCTTTACTAGCATGCTTAGGCGAGGTTGGAGTGTTCAATTCCTTATGATTGCAATGACCCTAAAATCAGTTGCTCAAAGCACATTTCGTAATGGCACGATGCGATTAAATGATTATGAAAACGAAGGTCACTGTTTTTCCTGCCGAACCTGACTCTCACTTAGTATGCTAGGAGAGCAAGAGGCCGTTTTTTGGGACCGTAGCAGAAGTTAAAATCGGTTATTCTTAAACACCGTTTGAGATGTTTTATGTTTAGGCCGGACTCTATATACACTGACAGCAAGTCGATTTGGGATTGAGTCATTTTTTAACTTTTAAACTAGCGGTTATATAAAGGATGAACGTTTTCTCGAAGTTTCGAACTTAACTTTCTATGCAGCAAAGTGTGGTGAAGGATCCTAAATATGTTATTCGTCATTATAGTCTTTAAAATAGCTTATTCAGTGTAACTCTGTCACATAAAATTTATCTTCCGTTTCGGATCCATCTTCAGAGATTTAATCACACTAGAGACCAGTTGAGCAGTCGCAGCATAAAATGTCAGTATAAGTAATGTGAACTGTTTCATAGTCATAAAATAATTATAGTTTTTAAGTTTAGGAAAGTTAGTGCCATGCGTAAAAAATCAGTGAGGCTCTTAGAGCGAAATAGTTAAGCATGTATTACGTGTTGAGAATTGATGCGAGCAACTCATTAAATACATAATGCAATAGGATGAAGAACCTGGAAACGGAAAAGAGTTTAAGAAGGAGGAGAACAAAAGCAAAAGAATGAGAGGTAAAAGAAGAAAAGTCGAGCGGCATTAAAAAAGTAGAAGCTGAAGAAGAGACGCAATAAGAACAAAATTATCAGGAATAGGAAGAAGTATGTTGCGAAGAGAAAGTGAATAAGAAAGACTGAAACGTTAGAAAGAAGGACAGGACGAATAAGTTGAAGCAGAAGGGACAAAATAATTGACTTTTGGGTTTAGCAGCATTTCAACTATCACCGTTTGTCAATTCATGATCACCATGCGGCAAAACGTAACTTAATTAAAG